CATACACTGCTGATATAGTCTAGTTAAAGATGGAGGAATTGTCATAAATCATCCTGAATCCAAACTGTTATTAAATACGTCAGAAAATGGAGCCCACTGGGTTGATAAAGGTGATATTCCAGATATCCTCTTCAGCTATTATTTTCAGTTTCTTCCTCTGAAAGTTCAAAGAAATAAAGACAGGAACAGGGCCCAACAGGGGATGAAAATGAAATACTTTCTGGCGTCTTCTGGTTGTGAACGGATTCAGAGTATTTAATAGATGCATTCTTGTTAGGAGCATAACCAAGTCAGCAGCGATAACTAATATTTTCAGAAGGCAGCCCATCACTTAGAATAGAAACCAAATTTCCACAAGGAACTCAGAAGCTTGTACTGGCTGGAAGTTGTGGAATTGGGGTGTGCTGTCAGGGAGCTGTACAGTGAGGCAGATCCCTGGGCCTGGGGCACCAAGGGCTCCCCCATGTGGGTTGTGGCAGGGCCAGCCAGGAGTATTGCAGCCAGGGGCCAATGGAGCAGTCCCAGCCCTAGGCATTGGGCGTCCCTAGTCTGAGGCTGGGACAGCATATCGTCACCAAGGTGGGCCTGGATCTGCAAGGCCCATGACCAAGCAGGGCAGGGCTGTGGAGAGCTGGAGGCCAGCCCTGCTGTGGCATCAATGGGGCAGGTGTGGTGGCGCCAGAGGGCTGCAATGGAGTCCTGAAGTAGGTAGGGAGGAGCCCTGGGTGCTAGGGAGGGCTGTGTGGTGAATGCAAGCTGTATTAGTCTCTAGTGGTTAACTAGGCAAACTATTGGTCTGCAAAGTAATTTTAAGAATAAGGTTTGGGGTCTAAGGTGACATTACTTAGGGAAGCTAGTTGAAACAATTTAAGAAGCTTCCTTAAGTAACAGTAGAAAAGTTAATAACACAGATCAATATATAATCATCAGATGAGGTGGACTATCATAGAAACTAAGACCTACTGAAAGACATTTTCAGTAATGTTTCCATAGTCATAGTTAAAACCTCTGATACAGAAATCAGAGAGCTGTATTCTAATGTTTGGTGTATTTCCCTTGTATTTCTTTTCAATGTTCCTTACTCATCTCAGCATTATGAGTAATCATGTTTTAGTTTGTGATGCATTTGTATTTCTTTTTAAATTAAGAGACTCCCACAACGTTCCAATTTTCTGTCTCTGACTGGCACAGCAGGGGAGAAAATAACACCACATTTTGTGTTTATCTAAGCTATTTATTCACATTACTACAGCATGAGTGTCTCATCCTCTAGTGTATACATGTTCTTGCAGTAGTCATTGGAAGAGATGGTGGCATCTCATTGAAATGAAATGTCTACATCCTTTCTAGGGGTCTGGATTGAGATGACTTCTCCAGGTTGCACAAATAAAGTCTGAACTGGTGAAGAGAACATAGGTTTTCTTGAGTCTGCATTGCTTAGCACATCACCCTCTGTCAAATTAATCTGAAAGATAAATTTTTACAGCAGCTCTAACTAGAGAGAGTCCAATATTGTCCAGTTAGATTTTGCTTCCATTAAGTTTTTTATAAAACATTACAGATACAGCTGCAGAAATACAGTCTCCCAAACCACGTATTTGTAACCTAAGTGGTGAATTCCATTTATTCTAATTAGAAATCCTTTTGTGGAATAAACCACCTGTTGTGGAAAGGATTTCATAGTACACAGGGAAAAGAAAAAAGTGTGCCATGCTCAGGGATATGAATCTCTCATTAATCTGGTAGGCATTGTCTTAAGTAAGGAGTCCCAAGGGCTCTCTTCAACACAACACATATTGCAAATAAGCATTTGAGAGAAGCCTTGATACTTTTCTACTTGGTCCCATTCACTCAGAAGGAAGTATTAAAAATGATAGACAGTTATTTCATGTGTGAATTTAAAAATCATTGTTAGAAATAAAAGATGCAAATCAAAATGTTGTATTTCAAACAATATAATAAATATTAGAAAGTAGGGAAGCAGGAATTTCTCTTAGCTTTCTTTTGTTGTCTCACAACTGTAGTGTAAAAGAGTTGCAAATTGAAGGCTTTCAGTGTTTCAGTGATAATTATCTTCTAATGGCATTTCCGCCTTCATTTTTCAATTTAAGTTTGTTGGGTAACATGAAATTTAACAGGAATAACATGTAATTGGTTGGCGGTGCAATTAGCTGAGAATCTTTTGCATCTCTTAACTTTTATTCCTTGTTAGATATAAAAGACCTCTGACTCTAAATGCACCTGGGTTTTCTTCACTCTTGACAACTATTCACAACAAAAAAATTATCTAGTGTTATTAATTTTTCCAAATGCTACATGCATTTCATGCTATAATAGTGAATTTCTGAACATGTGTTTCTGCAGGATGGTATTAGAACACCATGTCATGTTTTTTTTAAGAAAGCTTAAATTCTACAGCAGTTCCTTGTTCTCTTGATTTCTCATCTATCTATGCAACCAATTTCTAACTGGTTCATAATTTAATAATTCCACTTACGAATACAGTGATTTTTGCTGGGATCTCTATATTGTATACCTGAATATGTTTTTACATATACACATGTAAAGCTAAAAAGAGAGGATGAGAAAGAAGATTCTTCTGATCTCTTTCAGTTTGGGATAGTTTTAACTTGAGTTCCTTATAGCCTTATAAACTCAGTAATTTTAACATTTTTCCTGGGCATAAAAAATTTCTCCTGAGTTTCTAGAATTTTTTTTCCCCATAAATTAGAGACAATCTTTCCGATTCAAATGTTAGCATCTGCAAAAACTTACACTTAGGAATCATTTTATCAGAAAAGGAACCTGCAGCAAGAGAAAAACAATTCTGTTTATTTCTGAAAAAAATAGAATACAACCAAACCAGGTTTGAACACCAGAATATCTACTCTTCTTGTTTTAGGAATAAATAACTTCAGAGGACATTTTGACTTTATAGGAAGTTTGGATCCTTGACATTTTACGTAGAGTTAATTATTCAAATAACAAAAGACTCATGGATTGAGATAAAGACAGGGAGAAATCAACCACCAGTTACCATCACAGGCAAAACAGACTCAACTTGGGGAAATTAGTTTATTACGAATCAAATCAAAGAAGGATAATGAGAAATAAAAATCTTAAAACACCTTCTCCCCTGCTCTTCTCTGTGGTCTTAGCTTTACTCCTGATTTTCTCTACCTCCTTCTCCTCAACAGTGGAAGGAACAGGGAATGGGGGTTACAGTCAGCTCATCACACATTTTCTCTGCTGCTCCTTCCTCCTCAGGAGGAAGATTCCTCACACTCTTCCCTTGCTCCAATATGGGGTCCCTCCCATGGGATAGAGTCCTCCACAAGAATTCTCCAACATGAGTCCCTCCAACAGGCTGCAGTTCTTCACAAACTGCTCTAGCTTGGGTCTCTACCACAGGGTGCAGTCCTTCAGGAACAGACTACTCCAATGTGGGTCCCCCACACGGTGACAAGTCCTGTCAGCAAACCTGCTCCAGCATGGTCTCCTCTTTCTCCACAGAGCCACAGGGCCTGCCAGGATCCTGTTTCAGTGTGGGCTACACACTTGTCACAGCCTCCTTTGAGCATCTACCTGTTCCACCATGAGGCCCTCCACAAGCTGCAGGTGGATATCTCCTCCATGGGATGCAGGAGGGTAGTCTGCCTCACCATGGTCTTCCCCATGGGCTGCAGGTGAATCTCTGCTCTGACACCTGGACCATCACCTCCCCCTCCTTCTTCACTAACTTTAGTGTCTGCACTTTAGTTATTTCTCTCGCATATTCTCATTCTTCTCTCCTGCTGCAATTGTGCAGGTTTTATTTCTCCTGTAATCACAGATATGCTACCACCATCACTGATTGACTTGGTCTTGGCCAGAGGCAGGTCCATCTTCGAGTGGGATGACATTGGCCCTATTGGACATCAGGGAAACCTCTAGCAGCTTCTCACAGAAGCCAGCCCTGTAGCCCCCTGCTATCAACACCTTGTCATGCAAACCCAAAATATTCCACCCCTCACCTCTGTGAATCACAACTTTAAGAATTATCATTAAAATCCGCATTCATCACAGAATCTTCACAAACTTCACTTACATCAAGAAAAAATAATTCCCCACGCCAAAACCAAAATTACATCATCACAACACTGAATGAAAGTGGACAATTTACACAGAATCCACCCCTCATTTCTTCACCACAATTACAAGAACAGAAATTTCCCGTCATCATTGCACTTTTCACTCTCTAGCTCTGTTCACTTCATGTATTGCCTGTTACTCCCAGTTGCTATTCATATCTTGAATTCTTCATGCCCCACATTGGGCATCAAAAAGGACTGTGGTGGGTTGATCTTGGCAGGACACCAGGGGCCCACCAAGCCACTCTATCATGCCTCTTCTCAGCAGGACTGGGACAGGGAGAGAAAATAAGATGAACAAAAACTTGTGGGTGTGAGTCAAGATAAAGACAGTTTAATAAAGCAAAAGCAAAGGCCACATGCAAAAGCAAAGAAAAACAAAAGATTTATTCTCCACTGCAGATCAGCAGATAATGTCCAGCCACATCCCAGGAAGAAGGGTTACTGTATGCTCTGGAAGGCAAACATCGTAATAAAAAATGTTATGTGTCCTCCTCCTCCCCTCCCCCTTTCTCTTAGCTTCTATAGCTGAGCATATGTCATATGGTTTGGAATATCCCTTTGGTCATTTTGGGTCAGCTGTCCTGGCTATATCCCCTCACAATATCTTGGCCATCACCAGCCTATTGAGTGATGCACGGGAATGTTGGAGAACCAGCCTTGATGCTGTGTGAGCACTGTTCAGCAGTAGCCAAAACTATGGTGTGTTATGAACACTTTTTTAACTACCAATGCAAAGTGCAGCACTATGCGGGCTGCTGTGGGGAAAACTAACTCCATCTCAGTCAGACACAGTACAAAGGGCAAAGTTATCAAACATCCTTTCTCTGTTTCTTTCTTCCATTTTCAAAATAAAAAAATGGGTCCACGATGGTTTTGGTTATTCAGTCAGATACACTGGTAGCTCAGGTAAGCAGATGGTGCATTGACTGAAGTTATGCTGAAGTTTATATAAGCTGACAATCTCAACTTTATTAGACTTCCTCCTCCCAGCCCCTGCTACAGGACAAGATATAAATTATGTGTGACACCATAATTTCACAGATTTAATGTAAGAGATTAAAAATGTCATCAAGTCAAATATGCTTACTCCTTTTACAAATAGTAAACTAGGTAATTTTAAAGACAATATAAAGACCTAGCAAAAAAGGTACAAGGAGAGAGAAAATAGCAGCACCTCTGTATCTTATGATTTAACTCAGAAAAAAGGATAATTTGTACCTCCAAAAGTCTTCTTTTCTTTCTATTCAACCCTGATTGATTTCTAAATTGAGAATGGAAAGGAGTCTAGCAACTGACCCCTCATGTTCCATTCATTAAAAATGATATCTGGCATTCTGCTTCTGCTTTGCTCAAATTCTATATAGAAGCTTAGTAATGCCACACTGCAGATATGGAGAGATAGTCAGGGCAGTGGAATAAGAATGACTGAGTTCTTAAAATTAGAAAGTTTCTCTTCTGATTTAATATCACAATATAACTGCACAATACTTGAGGCTGTTCATTTCTGCATTATCACTTTGTTCCCATTGTGCACCTCAATAAATACATTCTGTTCTCAAAGTAGTTTTAAAGAAAAAAACCACAAAGCTTCTCAATCTATCAGAAAACCACCCCTTCTTCTCAGAGAACATATGTTCATTTTTAATCTAAACAGGCAAGTCTTTAAAGTCAGGGTAGAAGCACTGAGACTTAATGGGTAGGTGTTTCATGTTATCTCTTAATACACCAGGGTACTGAGTAACTTTGGCTTATTTTTCCCTCTAAATATGAGCTTTATTCTACTCAAGGAGGAGTATAATATACTTAACTTATATTTTATAGCACAAAGTATGTGTAAGGAACAATGAAAATGCTGGAAGTATCAATCAAAGTTCATTACTTCATTATAAATAATTTAAATACAAGCAAATAAAATTACTTTCCAATTTAAAACAAAAAATAAAACACATTAAAAATGGCTGTGTTTTGTTGAGGGATAGACTAATCATGGACAGACATCTGTTGCTGCCACCCTATGCAGTTTCCTTTTCCAATAAATGGTGCTGTCCTTGAGGCCACAGAAGATAACATAGGTGGTGGGACTGAACTACAATAATTCAAGCAAGCACTCCACAGTGTGACTGCATCAGGCTTAGTGCTTAAGGCAGTTTCTAGCAATGACTGCAGTAAGGAAAAAAATCAAATCAAAAATAAAATAAAGAACACCCCAGTTACTAGAATATTCTTGACTTAGGGAAGTTTTCTAGAATAGACATAGTACCCAAGAAATTGCAGCTTAAAAAATGAACCATGTTGTGTGGAAATGACCCAGCACAAAATTATTGTCTTGCCAGAAATAACACATGAGGAATTACAGCAAGAAGTGGGAAAGTTAAAAACTAAGTAGAATGGTGTTAAAAGTAATAGCATAGTTTTTATATCTTATATGCAATAACCTTTTATGAAATTTAATATGTCATTTTATATGATTTTATGTGCATGTATTCTACAGCTGCACTCCAATTCCGACAAAGGTGATGGATCAGTCAAATACATTCTTACTGGAGAAGGGGCGGGGACTATATTTATTATTGATGACACGACTGGAGACATCCATTCAACCAAAAGCCTAGATCGAGAGCAGAAGACACACTATGTGCTTCATGCCCAAGCTATTGATAGACGGACAAACAAGCCGCTTGAGCCTGAATCTGAATTTATTATCAAAGTGCAAGATATCAACGACAATGCACCAAAATTTACAGATGGACCATACATTGTTACTGTGCCAGAGATGTCTGAAATGGGTAAGGAAAACAAATTGTTCTATTCAAAATATTTTAAGAAGTGAAAATGCTGCATACTGTTTGATAAAGTTATGACATTATTGTATCATTGATTGTATGTAGAAGATACTACTATTCAGAAGAGATAAGAAGATATGAAATGCAACCTCATATGTTACTACATTCATATTAAGAAAACAGTGCACACAACACAAACACACACACACACATACTGTAGAGAAGAGTCACTCTTATTCTTGAGTGCTTTAACAGACATTTCTGGGCAAATGATACTTTGCACTCTAGTAACAAGATGTATTCGTATATCGTCTTTCAGCTACACACTTTATGACTTTCTTTTATGCCTATGTGAGTAGTGTGTGCAATTCCACAGAATTAGGTACAGTGAAACAATAGTTTTCTAGATTATTTTAGACTGGTATCATATGTTTAATTACCTTTATTAAGTTTCTTATAAAGTGAACTGAAGTTCAAAAGAGTACTGATCTTTGGTTTTCCCTGATAGAAATTTAGTTCAGATATTCTTATTCTTTGAGATGCTACGTTATTCAGTCAGTTTTCTTTATTTATCGCTTCTCTAGTGTTGAAATTAGTTTATAACTTTCCTCTAATACCAGAGCATCAAAGCTACATAACTAGTCTAGGATAGACAGATGAAAATATGACTTTTGAGCTAACTATTTTTTTAAGAGAATTTAACTGTCATGACTGGTCTTTGTGAAATATATCTGCTGTCTTTTATTACTGGATGGACAGTACAGATAGTTACCTTATGAACATACACTTTTCCCTTTCCTCCCAAATCCCTACACACTCTATCTAACAGACAATCTTCAAGTCCAAGGTGTGTCTATCTTTTCCAAGGTAGAAGTATATAATTTGTTCTTCTCTCTTTGCTCTTTGTCTTATAAGCAGGTGACAGATTTTAACTTCTGCAGAGTATAATTTTAAACTTTAAAAGAGAAAAATATTAAAATACATAGAGTTACTCAGCTCTCAATACTGATCATACATGAAGAAAGAACGAATACTGTAATTGAACCTTAATGGTTTGTCATCATTCGATCACTTTGAATATTAATGCTAATTCATATGAATAGAACAGAGAATAATATAAGTATTTTCTTCCATACTTGAAAGTCAGATACAATATTTTGTAAACATAATTATTTTGGATGGGAAGGTACCTTTTACAACTTTCCTGGTGTAGATAGGTGAAATTAATTTTAAACTGCAAATCTGCATTTGGTTCATCTTCTGTGGTACCACCTGACATTAATATGCTGAGTTCAGTCATATGGGGTTCTGTTTAATCTGTCTGTGGAAGTCTGCATGCTGTCTGAACTGCATACAGTTTCACAGTATGCAAAGAAGTATTTCATTTTGTCGTGGTTTAGGCCCAGTGCATAACTGAGCACCACGATGCCTCAAAAAAGGGCTAGTCAAAATAAGGACTGGGAGGGCTTCTCACCACTTAAACAGGTCACAAGCAAAAGACAGACTCATAATAAAGAATAAAAAAAAACCAAAACCAAACAATTTTAATTTGTTACCAACATCAGAGTAGAACAATGGAAGATACAACCAGATCTTAAAATCAAAACACATTCCCCCCACCCCTCCCTTCTTCCCGGGCTCAACTTTTGTTTCTGGTTTCTTCACCTTCCCCCTCCCACATGCTTTCTTAGGAGTAGGGGAAAAAAAAAGCCTCAGCCCAACCTCTCTCTCTCTGCTTCCACGTGGCCCCCATTCCATAGGGGAAAAAGTCCTCAGAAGTCCAATATGGGTCTGCCCACAGCTGCAGTTTCCCTCACACACAAAACTGCTTCAGCCCAAGTCCACAAAACTCCAATCTGGGTCTGCCCATGGTCACTGTCCCCTCACACACGACCAGTCGACCCGGCTCTCACCACGGGTTGCAAAAGGGAAACCCGGGTTCTGCATCCTCCTCCTCCTCCCTCTCCTTTCTTTTCCTTCAAACCGACCCTGGTGTTCTTCAAAGTTGTTCTCCTCAGGCCCCATGGAGAGGCCCCTTTCTCCGCTGCAGGTCTTCTCCGATGGTTCTGGAAATACCGGCTCTCTCTTTTTTTCTGGGATTAAACTGCAGCGGGACTTAAGCTTAAGTTGTGATCGGGGCCCACCAAGCCCAGCCGGGCAAGGCTGGGGCCGTGCCACCTGCACCTGGGGTCACGCTGGTCAGGGCGGGTGCCAGAGAGAGAGCGAGGCATGGCCTGCACCCCCCTTAAATATATGAATTGGCAGAGGCGCTGATTGGCTTGGCCTTGGTCAGAGGTGGGTCTGACAAAGGCAAAGGGGGACCTTTTTGGGTAGCTTCTTAAAGGGCCATCTCCATAGCCCTTCCCCTGTTACCAAAGACACAACCAAGAACCCCTCACAGAAAACCCAATACACATACAGGCCAAAACCTATATGGAAGCCAAACAGCTTCCATTACAGATGCACATGGTAAAAACAGTGCATTCCGAACACATCTACTATTCTTTTCTTGCATATACAAATGAATTGTGGCATATGAAATATCTGCAAACATGTAATGCTCATACCAGTCCTGGAAAAAATGAAATATATTAAATCATTTTCTTGAACCATGAACTTCAGAGCTGTGACAGTTTGGAAGCAGTGACTGATTTTTACACCAGTGGCTTCTGTATTGACCTAAGTGGTGTTAAACTTGTATAAAGTAGAGAAGTATCCTTTCCTATCTACCACGCAAAATCAGATTGTATTAAAAGGACTCTCAGGCTTACCAAATAATCACGTTTTAAAAGGATACCGAAATATATCTCCTATTCTCTTTCTTTCCGCTGTCTTTACTAGTGCCTTTTCATACTTTCTCTCACCGCTGCTGCCACTATACTGACAGATAGGAATATTCTTTGATTTTCTTCTCAAAATGTCCTCCATGCATGATGTTCTGAAAAATAATCTACCTACCTGCATCATAATTGTCTTGTTCTGATACTTTGTTCTTCCTAGGTACTTGTAGTACCTTTCTACCTTTCCAGTCCTCTCCTCTTTTCCAAGTCCTCCCAGAGCGTGCTATTTCAGATGTCTCTTCCCAGTTGTGGAGAACTCTAAGCCTTTTTTTTTCCTGTGGTTCTTCTTGTAACAAGAATGTATGAAGGGATAAAGATCGTTCTTTCATCTCCTTTTATTTCCTTCCGTCTTCTTCATTCATAGGCCATTGTTCCCATATTACCCTTCCACTTCCCTTTTATGAAATTTCTCCTTTCCAAAATTTGGTTCCCTCTACCTGGGAAATGCTACCTCATCTTCACTTGTAATTTCTATTTACCTCTTCTCCCACATTTTATTATCATTATTTATTAACATTACTATTTCTAACAGCCTCTTCTGGGTCTCTACCAAAAGAACAATATTTATTAGCCATTTTTGTTTGATCTGCATTATCTTTGACAAGATTTTCAGATTGTAGATCAAATATATTTTTATTCCTTAAAGTAATTTCCAGGTTCGTCTCCATTTCATCTACTCAGTGATGTTAGTGCATCAGGACATGTTTTTAATGCAGAATTCCCTATTTTAACCATCTAAGCATGCTACTGCACATATGATTCCCAAAATAAATTTATGGAAGTACAGAAGGACAGGATTCCTGTGAGTAATGTCATAACACCAGGACTATTTAAGCAGTACATCTTTGTGGAGAAGTACCACAGTGAGGGGATAGAGCTCCCAGTAAGAATATTGTGGGCCTGTATGAAAAATCTTCAATTGTCTTTGATAATTCACTGTGGTATAAAACTTTGCTGTTAGAGTTTCAGTTAATTTCAATAGCATCTAAGCTCTTATCTCAGTTGTCTCTCATCACACCACAGACTGTCTTGATGTGAAATTAATTTCCTTTATCAACTGTCTTCAAAAATGCATAACTCTGTCTTCCTCTTTCTTCAGTTTCCTTTGTCTTTAATTTAGATCATTTAATTAATTGATTATTTCCTTCCCTTGTGGAAACCTTTTATTTTCTGCATAGGAGGAAAGACAGTGGATAGGAAATCAATGTTATCCTCAAAGTCAAAAGCAGCTAATATAATTATTTTTTTATTTGTTCATTCTATTTATAAATGTTCTGTTTTTTTTTTCATCGTCTCAAAATGTAGTATTCTTACACAGATGTTAGTCACAATTCTGTAGTAGTCTGAATCATGGTATTCCTCTAGAACTACATTATACTAGTAACTGTTTTCCAAGAAGAACTCGAATAGTTAGTGTAGGATGGCATTTTGGTTTATAAAACGTAGTAGATTATGCTGATCCAAGGAAGTTTTAATGATAAAGCATTAATGCATATGTTTTATAAATTAAATACTTTGCTGCTTTTACCTAAGATAAATCATTAAAATATCTATTCCACAAAGCCTTCCTGTTGTGTGAATAAACCAAACTTTTCGTATCCTGCCATACAAGAAACCTTCTGTAGACACACACTGTATTTTCATTGCAAATTTATGATCATTGTTTTCTTATTCTAGTTCTTTTGTATGTGTTTGTTGCATATTGAGAGCATTTTATTGTCAGAAGACTTAGGAAGACTAGTTCTATTATTGCCTTCACAGGATGCTTGCTTTCTGTCAAATAATGTATTATTGGTTTTAGTTGTGTAATTAGCACGTTTTTTGACATTTAGCTGAGGAGTTTATGCACAACTGAAATTCTTGTTATTTTATGAATTCCTAATGTTGCTTCACTACTTTAAAAATATCTTCCACTTTTTTACATGGTCATTTAAAGAACATTCAATGTTACAGTCTCTCTCATGCTGAGTGACAGGTGGTATTTTTGATCACTCTTGTGCTGTTTATTTTCAGCAACAGATTTTTGTCTCTCTCCTCAAGATGTTAGCTGGTACTTTTCCCACAAATTGAACCTTTCTTGATCTGCTTGTAAAAACTATAAGACCTTTATGGCTTTTCTATTTTTAGATCACTGACAAGAAACTACAGGTAAGTTTTGTTAAATTATTTGCCAAATATTAGATCACAGCGTTCTCTGTGGCACAAAGTGAACACATTATTTATGCTTTATGTACTGTACTGAAAGGGCTGAAAGAAAGCACTTATACCTTGCATTCAATGAATGTTTTTCCTAAAAGTTAGCTCAAGAACCAAGGTTTTTGTCTGAAATCATTTCTTCTGCCGTGTAAAAAAATGCAGTCTCATTGAAAGCTATAACTATGCTCTCTTTTAAGGAAGAGTCATCATTTTATAAATGTAAAAGGAAATGAAAACATTTTCAAACAATAAAAGCCTTCCATATCTGCTTAAAAATTATAGCTTAAAAATGAGTGAAATATTGCATATTATATTTTCTAGTGTTGAGGTCATGCATAAGAGTATTCCCAGTAAATTCTACTTAGGAAATTAATTGACACACTGAACTTTTCTGAACTTATTTCCAGGGTACTTTAATGTAAGATAGTCATAATTTTAGATAATCTGGAAGACAATATTCATGTTGTTCATAAATATGGTTTGTATGAGACATGCCTATTTATCTTCCTGTGTTGTTTGATTTTCATCTTCTAATGAAGATAGCCAAAAAAAAAAATAAAAATACTGAGATTCTTTACAGTGAGGACTTGATTCAGTAATATAGACACTGATCTCAAAGTGTTGATTGCCTGGTGAAATCACTGTTTTCTAAGGCAGAATAAAACTAAAACACATTTTTTTGACTTCTTAGCATTTTAAGACAATTTCAAGAATTAGTTTACTTAGGCAGGAAATTGCTGTTTTTATTAAACTTCACCTTATTTTCACTTCTTTTACTTTTTGTTCAGTATTGATCCATCTGAGATTTTAACAGTGCACAAACTATGGAAAGTCATGCATACAGATTTGCATTCTCAATAGATACGTTTTATTGAACTGCCTAATTAAAAATTTGTCTTCAGAGAGGCAAATTGAAGTATTTCCCTTCAGCTTTTCTTTGATATATAACTTTTCAATTTTTTTATTGTAAACATTTTTAAAAAGAGAAAAAAACATAAGACGATATTTTGAAAAAAACCTAAAATTTGTAGTTGAAATTATCCTTATTTTTGAAAGCAGATAAAAGGCAAAGCTTACAGAGCAGTGTTCAGAGCATATGAAATATTTTACAGATCTCTATAAAGCATTAGTTAAGAAAACAGAATTCCCAATATGTAATCTCTAAACCATAGCAGGAAATCATGTGGAATGATAGTTGTACTCTGAATAAGCAGAGCCTCCACTTTGGGGAAAAAAGTCTTTTTTATTGCCTAACTGGAGTGTCAAAATGCTTTCATAGCAAAATTTTGCGTTTTCCTTGACAAGCACTTTCACAGTAGGTTAGTGAAGAAAGTATGGAAGGTATGCCTCTGGGTTTGATATTCATATCTGCTCTGAGGTCTCCAGGGAAATTATATTCTTATTTTTTGTATTAGATTTTTTTTATTCAGAACTGTTAACATTAAAAATAGCAAGGCAGCTGTACTGTGTACTTTTCCATCTATACCTTTCATTACACATAGCAAAAATTGATGCTACATCTGAATGGTACAAATATATTTGGAATTGTGATTTATCTGTCATGTTGATGAACTGAGTGATGCTTAATTTGAAAGGAAGGTTAAAGGTACCCTCTTTACCTTTTTTCTCACACAGCACCCAAGCCCGCAGCTTTATTAAACCATCTTTCCTCTGTGCACAGCAAATCACACAAGAGTTAGGCAAAAGGCCAGTATATCTTATAAGATGTTGAGCATGCTTGTGCAATAAAGTGAAAAAGTTAAGCATCTGATGAGCTACATTGCACTGAATGAGAGTTTGAGAAGTGGAGTGGGAGGTTGAGTTAAAACTTGTGATTCTAAGTGTTCTTTTAGATGGGAAGAGAACACTTTTCCACTCTTCAATGCCAAATTACTATTATCAGGTGTTTCCTAGGAGAGAGATACAGATGTATTAGAAAATCACTGTGGTGGATTTTAAGGTATAATAGCATTCCATTCATGCTAAAATGACCTGTCAGCTGCTTATAGGAGATACCACCTTTCACTGTCCGTGTTTCTCTGTCCCACATCAATGAGCAATGCAAGCACTCAGATTCTATCACCTATCTTTTAAAATAAGAAGAGAATAAAGTCTGAAGAATGAGAGTACCATGAAATCTCAGTATTTCTGGTATTTTCTTCTTTAAAAATAGCCAAAATCTGTTCATCCATTCTAAAACCTACTAGAAGCATGAAAATGTATAGATTAAAAGGTGCAGAAGTTGCTCGGCAGTCTGGATAGCAAACACTGGTAGGTGACTAACTGTATCTATTGGTTTGGAATATTTTGGCTGTATGCAATTAAAAAAAATAAACTCAATTTAGATCAGTAACTTATTAATCTTTATTTATTCCATAAGATTCCAACAGAAAATAATGAAGCCATGAATAAAGGTAAAACAACAAATTAGCATGGATAGGACTTGAATACTAGACTTGAATATTATGCTTAACTAGAAGACAGAAAGATCACAACTTTTCTACCTCAAGTTTGATATTGTTGCCAATGGACTATGGAAATATATTATTTCAGTATTTAGGTAAGCTATAGAATAGGGAAAAGAAATGGATTTTCTGTTCTTTGAAGAGACTTGATATGGTTTGCAGGAACTCTTATTTTAAGTTTAGATGCCAAATAAATATGACTGCATAGATTCTTAGCACATTGTAAGAACATTACACTAACTTTAATTCATACTTGTTTACCTTGCCACATAAACAAAAATGTAGTAATTTAGTCAGTTTTACCATTAACATCTGAATAACTATGAACAGACTACTGACTCCAGCTTGATTTTACTACAATATTCAACTTCAAATATATTTACTTATGAAACTGTATTAATTTGAGCTATTCAGAGAGCACAACATGCTATATTTAAGTATGCAGACATGTTTGTGGTACCTTTTACTGAAGCTCTAGTAGAGACACAAAAATCAAGTTTCAGTGTCCAAGTTAGTATAACATAGATGAATTAATATTTTCTGAAACAGTGAAGAATCCAAATATGCAAGGATTTGCATGCTTGCTTTGCTGTACTCAGAGTGAGACCCCATGATTTTAGATACTTCTATTTTCAGAATACACTGAGGGTGTGCTCATTAACAAACAGTCCTGTGCAATAGAAACTGATCTATGAAGTTAAACAGCTGAAACTGAGAATCTGGTGTCTCTGCCATATGCTTTTGGGAAGTCTTACTTCAGACCAGCTTTCAACTGGTCTCTCAGCCTAAATGCCTATTAGCAGTCAGAATATATCAGATGTGCTGCTAAAGTACATCTTTTCGTCTAGTTTCATCCAAAGGAATCTAGTCAGTGTGCTCCGATACTGTTCCATGAGGCAAATCAAAGTACCATAAGTTGGGGAGATCAAGGAATTCAATTCAAAAGCATACTTCCCCTCACTACTGAAATGTGAAATTGAACACCTCAGAGTGGAGGTGATGCTTTAGTGGTTAATTTAACTGAGAAGCCACTTTCAGATGCAGAATTACATGAGAACAGCTGGTTCTGTTATTAATAATCCTGTGTTTTACCACTGGGCCAAAAAAGTCTCTAGAAAGCAGTGTCTGTGTAAGTATAAACAAGTGGGATGAAGACTGAACCTTTATTAACTTGCCAGTCTTTAATTTATTGATTTCTTATTTGAAGTGTTGGGCAGTGGTGGCAAAAAAGTTTCATCATTAAATGTCTTGAAAAATACAGTAAAATGTAAAATCACTTGTATCTAATCTGTCTGTGCAGTACTTACAGATTTTATTTTCTGCAAAGTATTCCTTCCAAGTTATTCCACTTAGTAACATGCTAGAAACGATGATTTTATTTTTCTAATGGTATTTATTAACAGCATGCAAATGTTTCTCTTAAGAAAAAGGTTTTTCCAAATGAGTATAAATAGGTTTCCTTAGAAATATGATAGGATAATAACATATAGAGAAAATGTTATTAATCTCTCAATTGTAGAATGTGACAACTGGTTTCAGAAATACATTTAGAAATAATAATAGCTGTCAGAAAATTATATTTATTATCAACTAACTTTTATTTACCTGTATACGCAGGTACATCTGTTCTACAGGTGACAGCCACAGATGCAGATGACCCTACATATGGAAACAGCGCCAGAGTAGTGTACAGTATTCTTCAGGGACAGCCATATTTCTCTGTTGACCCTAAAACAGGTATTTTATATTTCTGTCTCTGTGATTCATCTAATAAGTTGCAGTTAACAAAGTCTTGTAGATGGAAACCAATATTCGAAGTACAGGTGGGTGGGATTATTTTTTTTTTCTTTAATAACTACTATATCCTATTTCTTGCTTTAACACTATGAAATTTAGGATTTGTTATGTTTTGCTGAGTACTAAAATGAGGCTACTGTGAATAGAATTAATTCTGCATCATGCTATGATGTGAGCCATTCAGCCAAACTGGAATAGCACTTTTTCCTCTTTTCAAGCCTCTGTTTAAGGTTTGACTCAAGTGTGACTAATACATTATGTTTTTAAATGCCTTGTTTTGCCTGAAGGATAGGCTTGGAAGAATAACTGAATGTGTGCTTCAACACATATACTATATTAAATTAATATCATTCTTGTATTATAAAACTGCATTATTCTCATTTCATTAAAAATTATTAAACTGTTCAAGAAGTAGAATAAGCTGAAACATTTATGCTTAATTTCTATGCATCGCCCTCTCCTTTTTTCCACAAAATGTAAGTTATGTATAATAAATCCAGACTGGTTTCTTTAAGGGGAGAAGAAATCTGTTTTGGGAATAGGGGTTGTTACTTGTTTTGGTTTCTGAAGAGCATTTTCTAAAATAGTACTATAATGCTATATTTTTAGTAAAAATTTATAGTTCTTAATAATAAGGGAATTTATTTTAAGATTTTTTAACTTAAAATATTCAGGGAAGCCAGAAAACATGAGTTACTTATCCTTTTAGAGTATCATTAACCTCACTGTAAAAATAAAATATAAAATGAAGTTATTAGTGAAGAGTAAAATAAATAATTTATTAATATACTTAGTATTTTAATATGGTTCCCCCTTCCCGGTAGAACTCTGAATGTCTTTTGAAATGCCCAATTACACATGCAAACTCTTGCTTGGAGTTTGAGTTACAAATTTAACACCCCACCTTTCCCAAAACACGAGGTGTTTTGTTCCATGAACTTGATGTAGGATCTGTCTCTGCTTATTATTTGCTTATGTCAAGTGTGGCTCATCAAACAGCAACAGTAAAGTTTGACTGGTAACTCAACCCAAGAAGCTAATTTTTTAATGGAGAAACCTTGAATTAGACTGTGTGCTTTTTTCTAACAGCTATAGCAGCCCCCTGGCATTTGACACATTCTTCAGGAATGAAAGTGAAACTTGTAGTAAATTCTACTGCTTACCGAATAAGCCCATATCTGAAGCATGTTATCAACACACAACTCTTCCCAGATGCATCAGTCTTTCTGAATAGAATTTACAGAGTTAATCTGTGGGGCATTTGTCCTTTCAAATCAGCAGTTGTGGTTGTAACTGTGATGAATAAGAGATACAAGCCTCATTCATTCCAGTTTTTAATTGAAATGTAGGCATTGGTGGGATGAAAAACACATTGGTCATTGAATTAAATGACTGAAAAAAATATTAGATATTTTTATTTATTTGTATTTATAATGATCTGCTGTTACAGCATTAGTATTACAAAGTTCTTAATCATCTATCAGCTTGCTTGCATTTTTTTTTTGTACTTGAAGATACTAAATAGTAAAGAGGTATGTATGCCTATTTATGAAAGAACCTCACTGCAAATTAATACAGACTAATTATGTAGTGTAAGAGGAGTGTCAATCTACTTCTGCTCTTTGTCTTCACAATAATATGAACAGTGGCTTCAAGCATGCCTACAAGAAATGACCTCTTCACTCCTTGTGTAGTTTGATTCCTGACTGAGAGCCCAGTACAAATAATAAACATAGTCAATGGCTGAATAGATTTTTCCAAATATGGAGATATGCCTCATGGACACCAAATGAACAATCCCTGAAGTTCAAGACTTTTGTCCTTGCCTGTAACTATTATTTTTATCCTTTTCTAGAAGTTCTTCACCATAGTTTGTATGGAAATGGCAGATTTTGTGGCATTATAATATGTAGAGTGTAATTTTAAAGTTGCATGTGTATTCCTCTGGGAAACAAGAATAAAAATATTGATTGTTCATAAAGTTTTTCAGATTCAATACTGCAAAATAAATACTAATACTTTTTAAAACCCCATTGTTAATTAATGAAATCTGTTAAAATTAAGTTCTTTTAATACTGAGGTAATAACTATGGATTTAATAGATTAAGATCTACCTAATTTCCTTATTTTAGAGAAAATATCTTAAATTGGCATAAAGAGGAACTGCATGGATTTTTGCAATACAAAAAGGAAGAGCACTGTTTGCATGCTTCAGTAGAACAGTCATGATATCTCAGATAAGAATCTACTGTGCTAACTGGAGTAATGCTAAGGCATTTTATGACCCTCAATCTCTGCCAAACATAGGAAGTCATACATTTCAGTAAAATAATTTCAGAAATAAAATTCTGCTGCTTACTTGAGTGAACATCCTTATTTTTGGTACCAAGAATTCTTACCATTTTTAGTTGTAATATATTTCTTCGTGACATCTGTTTAGAATAAGCATGTTTACTGTGGTTACTGATCACCTGCTGATAGGCAGGTTGGTTCATACTAGAGTGCTAACTGAAATTGGAGAGTCTTGTGTTTAACTGTCTCTTTGCTTCGTGCTGAGAGCCTTCAATATAATTTTAATGACCTTACGGGGCTATAGAATTATCTCACATAAACTGAATGCTTCTACTATAAAGGACTACTTTATAACGTCACCCTCACTTCACAACTAAGGCATCACAGTTGATGCCTAGGTTCCTGTAGTGATCTTAAATTAAACCTAACCTCTTCTATCCCAGTATTCACACATGGGCTCTTAAACTGCTGTTGCTCAGTAATTAGATCTTATAAAAAATAGTAAAGGTGATTGCATTAATCATAAAATTTTGCTAATGACACATTCTGCTTGAGTTAGATAAGGAAATATCTATGCTGAACCTTCAAAATCTCCCTTGCACTTGCATTGCAGACTACTTATTTATAGTTATTAGTAAAAACTCTTAACTTATTATATATATAGGATTGACTTCTACTTAGTAACAAGTTTAGGTGATAGTGAAGAATCAGTCTGTAATTTCAGTTATTTTTATTCGTGATACATCTTGCTAACAGTGTGTAGAGTTAAGATACCTTTATTTTGTGCATGGGTACTGTAATTTTATCTTGAAGTTGTAGGAACTATATTCCATATTCAGGTTTTCTTATGTTTATTTTCCCTCAAGGAATTTCCGAAATGTTGTAATAGAAATTACATCTCTAGCATATATAATTGCCAATGTCTAAAGTTTGCTGTCAGGAGAATCACTAGGAATTCAAACTCAAAATTTGAAGGAGTCTTACCTCATTCTTCTAATACTGCCAGGTACTGTACAATGCACTCCTTCATCCCTGAAGGAACAGAAATACGTGCTTCATCTAAAAATATTGTCATGAACACTTGTTTAAAAGTGTCATCTGTCAGCTCTCAACTAAGAGTAATGTAAATATTGTAATGTCCTTTGCTTTGAATTTTAAGTAAATATTGGATTTTCTACACCTACATTTTTCACACTTTCAAGATTAACTCTAACAATGTGCTCAATTCTCACAGTTTTCTTGTTTGTTCAAAATATTTATATACTATTACAGTGTCCCCTAGAGTTATGCAAAGGATAACTTAGGCCATCAGACTGATGGGCAGAGAGATAGCAGCAGCTGAACAGTCCACTGTTTCTGTAAGTTTTCTAAAAGCTCTGTTTTGGTTCAGTTGAAGATTTCATGAGAGCATTGGTACAACTATAACGTTGTTTAGACCTTGGTTTCTACTAGCATGGAAGCTGCACAGAGGGGTCTTTGCTAATCAAAAGTGTACAAAGAGGAGGGTTGAAATGTTGTGCTGCAGTAATACTGAAGCAGCAGCAATGGGAATGTTGGGATCAGGAGCTCCCTGATGAAGTTTGCTGATGACACCAAAATGAGTGGAGTAGTTGACACTCCAGAAGGGAGAGCCACCCTCCAGGAAGATCTGGACAGTTTGGATGAGTGGGCTAGTAAGAACTGTATGAAGTTCAACATGGACAAATGTAAAGTCTTGCATCTGGGAATACATAATCCAAGAATGCAGCTGAGACTGCGCTCCACTAAGCTAGAGAGCAGCCCTGTGGAAAGGTACCTGGGGGTCTTGGTGGTTGACAAGCTCAACATAAGTGAACAGTGTTCTGTAGCTGTAAAGAAAGCCAACAGGATGCTGAGTTGCATTAAAAAGGGCGTCACCAGGAGAGATAAAGAAGTCATGATCCCTCTCTACTCGGCACTGATCAGACCACACCTTGAGTACTGTGTCCAATTTTGGTCCCCACTATATAAAAAAGATGTGAACAGGTTGGAAAGGATCCAGAGAAGGGTGACAAGGATTATCGGAGGACTGGAAGACCTGCTGTATGAAGAAAGGCTGAGAAAACTGGGCCTGTTCAGCTTTGGGAAGAGAAGGTTTAGGCGGGACCTTATTACCATGCACCAGCACATAAAGGGTAGCTACCAAGAAGATGGAGACTCCCTTTTCACAAGGAGTCACATGGAAAAGAGGAGGGGTAATGGACACAAATTGCTTCTGGAGAGTTTCCGATTGAACTCCAGAAGAAGTTTTTTTACCATGAGATCAATCAGACATTGGAATAATCTTCCAGGGAAAGGAGGTGGGTTCCCCTACATTGGCTTGTTTTAAGAGTCAGCTTGACAGGGTGCTGACTCATCTCATTTAAACCATACTTTTACCTAGAGAGGTTGGACTAGATGATCCTTGTGGTCCCTTCCAACCTGTTATTCTATGATTCTATAATTCAACGCTTTGGAGCAAAGGTCTCTACAACCTAGTGCAGTGTTTCTTATGGTGACTGATATTTGCTAGACCATATTTTGCCATCCAGTCCCAGGAGATTTTGTTGTCTGCCTGCTGGAGCAGGACTTTGAGAACCAGAAGGTAGATCAATCATTCATCAGGAACAGTTTTCTGGCACTGTACTTTC